AGCCGAACACACAGAAACACACATATACACACACATACAGATAACCCCTCGACAATATGCGTTTTTGCATTGCAAAGATGCAAAAAAAGCATAAAAACTAAGGGAAATTAAAAACACATTACTAAGATGAATGCACTCCCTCAAGTCATTTAATTCAGGGTTTTGAAATAAACAAGACGCAAGATGTGTCAAAAGTGGCAAGCATTTCGGAGAAGACACAGAGCGAATTAGCCGAAACACAGACGGACGAACCTGAGAAGGGTCATGAAAAAAAGTAAGTCCGGAAACAATCGCAATTTGTTTTGAATGAACGAGGCATACGCCGGTTTAGATCTCACGCATAAGGTCATAAGGATCTCACTGAGAATTCGCTTTTGTTGCACAGATAAGTGTTTCTCTGATTTTTGGAATAATGAAACAAGGCAGTTCCCAGGGCAATCGCTCGTCGTATAACCTTTCCAATACATTCAGAATGCTTGAGCTGTAGAGACAGAACTGCAGTGGCGGAAAGAAAATTCACATAAAAGGGTTAATTTTATGCTATAGGCACTCGACTGTCCCGCGGTGAATCGAGGTATTACAGCAAAATACTAGAACTCCAGAAAAATAACTGTCCAAAATAATAAGAGACGTCGTTTTATCACATGCAAACGCCTATTGGTTGTGAGCGCCAAATCCAAATACGGTTCCAGCATTTAAGCAGGCTGCAGTCGGGAGATCGAGAAATGAGGCACTGTTGTAACAGACTGCCAACGACGAGGAACTGAAGTAACGAAATTTGCCTAAATGGTGATCTGTTAGGGTACGTGCATTATAAACCAAAAATAATCTCATTTTGTAGGCTGGCTCGAAATTCCAAAGGTTCGAGAAGATCCCCGGTCGCGAAAGCAGTTCCTGAGGATTCGAAAGCAAGCCTCAACACATCGAAATCAAAAGTACCGGACGAGAATACAGGTAAGGAAAAACCGATAAAAGGAAAGAAAGTATCGAGTGAAACGCAGTTAACGGCTCGAGAGCTCTCCAAAGAGAAGCTGCAGAAGCTGCTAAGCAAAGGATCGCATGAAAAAATTGAGGCGCTGGCGGCCGGGCAAGAAAAAACACAGGAGATGTCCAAAGAGCCAGACAAAAAGGGATCCAAAGAGTCAGAAAAAAGGGGATCCAAAGAGCCAGACAAAAAAGGATCCAAGGAGTCACCCCAGAACGCATCCAGGGAGGCATCCAAGAGAGCATCTAGAGAGGCATCGGAAGAAAAAGAAGGCGACAGCGAATAGGAACGGCGCAACTGAGGAATGAAACAAGAGAGTTGCGCAAAGAAGCATTGTGAAATTTTTTTAGTCATTGGTGAATAGATTGATGAGAATTTTGTGGAAGTCATTAAAAAGTATATGTTTGGCAGATAAAACACTTTTTAATCACTGATGAAATGAAGTAGTGCGCAACAGGGTGCGCTTCGTATAGTTCAACCCGGCAGGCATTTGCATTTGCTGCTAAAAATGTTCGTTGTCTTGGTGCTTGGCATGTGCAGAAATCAGGAATGTTCTGATCCGCTGAAATTTACACTTTTCTGTACGTAAGATCTAGGCGTATGTAGAAGTTAAAACCAAAATTTCCGAATTCGCACATGCACAGGAAACATTCTCTTGAAATTTCGACCTCATAATTTGTTTGATTTACGAGTTGGGAATTTTCCCGCCAATGTGCATGAGTAGGTATGTAAGGCGTGGACGCATGGAGAAGCTGAATTTAAAACTTTTGGTATTGCACATGGGTGCGTAAAATCTTTCTTAAAATTTTAGCTCCTAGTTTTTTCGTATCCGAGTTAACAATTTTCGGGCAGAAATCTCATGTGTCCGTGCTTAAGATTTTAATGCACGTGAATCCGAAATCTCTGTTTGTATATAACTACTGAACACTCTTACAAAATTCCGGCTCCCTAATATTTGCAGTTCCCGAGCTGGCAGTTTTCGCTCTAAGACTTCACGTACCCGTATGTAAACCACGCGCATATTGAAGGCTGCATTTAAATTTATGGGGCAGTATGAGGGCAGGGAGCATTATTCCAAAATTTCAGCTTCCCAGCTGTTTGGGTTCCCGAATTATTAATTTTGGGGCCAAAACTTCTACCCGTGATCTAGCTGTATGGAGGGAGGGGTGGGAATCTGATTATCGCATGATTGTAGCATGAAAGCAATATGAAGAACGCAGAAAAGAAGGCAAGAATAGAACGAACTATGTAAGAGGTAGAAATATTGCTGGTACAGGAAAAATAAATGGCAACGCGCACCGGACTAGCCGGTGCGATCATGCGTTTTGTGCAATTCAGCCCATC